TACTTTAAAACCTAACTAGTCATTTAGGTTTATTTGAGACACTGATTTTGGGCTTCAACTTCTTCGTTTTGCGTTTAATTTTCATCACAACAGGCGAACTTTTTGATCTCAGAATTTCTACATCAATTTTAGTTGATTTTTGATTTTTAGTGCTCTTCAGACTGGGGTTGGAGACTTGACTTTTCGATACATCCAATTGTTTCGATACAGATGGAATTGAACTTCGAGATTTAACCAGTTTACTCGATGGTTCCTTTTGAATCATCGAGTCTTTCGTAGTTTTCATTGCAGAGGATATTATTTGTGCTTCAACACGCGTTACAGCATTTATAGCTTCAGCGGATCCTTGCTTCTCTTTTGAATCAGAAAATTTTCTTATATTCGTATTTGAATCTTTTATTGGATCTTTTGACTGTTGCTTTTTAAACCTTACATAAATTATTATCAATGATATTAAGGTTGCACCTGAAAATAATGAAATGATTATTGGCAAATAATCAGCTTCGGGCGCAACAATATCAACATTTTCAGTTGATAGAGCACTTATACTTAAAGTATCAGCATATCTATCATTTTGAAGACTAACACTGATCTTGAATTTACCCGATTCAGATAAGCGCATAGAACAATTGAAGATTGATCCGTTTTGATTTGGTTTTATGTTGGTGCAATGATTTTGTGGACCAGCTTTGATAACTAAGTACTCTTGAGTGTCATTAAGGTTTAGTGGTCTATCGAATCCAATTGTCAAAGTTTCAGGTGATGAAGAGTTGAAAAGCAAAGGTGAAATTCGAGCTATTTTGAAGCAGATATCTACAGTTTGTTTAACACTGTTTATGTCCTTTTTACATATTGAATCGGACCAAATACAGCTTTCAATCATACCATACATTATACAATGAGTGCAACTTTTATATCCTTCACAATAATTTTTAAATGTAGAAATGGTAAATATTTTATTGGTCTCTTTAGTAACTCGAAAATATCCTATTGGTCGGTGATTAATAAAAGTATGAAGTTGGAGATCGTCTACCGATGTT